TGTTGGAATTCAGGCAAAAAAGAGGTTCCTCTTCAGGATTTTTCAGGTCTACCAAGCACTCAGGGTGAGATTTTGAAAAACATCTAAGAGACCTGTGCATATAAATCCCAGCGACACTGGGCAAAATTTAAAGTTATAAGGGCTATAAGTTACTTTAGGAATGCTCATGTTTCCACATTCACTGTAAAACCATGTGCTTCACTGCCACCTCACTAGAGAAATGAGTGGAATATTGCTTTACCAGGCTGCTTCGAGGCTTTATCACACTGTAAAATGGGTAAATATGTCTCGAGTCTCCCTGTGACCTCTCCAGATGTCTACTTTCATAGATGTAACTACTTATAGAGGTAACAGTGAAAAAATAGGTGAAGAAAGGATCAGAAAAAAAATAGGAAATAAAAAGGTTGACCTCTGTATTCAGCCATAGAAAAACCTCTCACAACCAATCCTTCACCCCCAAAGCAATTTTTCTCTATTTTTTTTACAATACCAGCTTAGAAGAAAGACAGCATAACTGGTTTGCTCATAATTTGTTATCTTACTTATATTATCTCCTATTAAAAAAAAAAAAAGCAGTGGTCGGGCACCAAAGAGGAAGACTTTGTCCAGTCTGCTGAGTTATAAGGTACAGCCCTCTAGAAAGGGCGGGAGATTGCATCTTCCGTGAGCGAAGCTGAGCACCTCTGGTTTGAAGAAGCTTCTGGAGCGCAGGACTGCAGAAGCAAAGGAGGGGTCTGCAATGCGAATGGAGACAGAGACTCCTGACAAAAAGGAAGAAACGGAAAAAGAGCCAAGCCAAGATGACAGATGCCCTTCTTGCCATCAGACACAGAAGAAGCAGATGTGCAGATTTTGTTGCTGTTCAAGACATTTTATGTGAAGCTTCTGAAAGAGAGAGAATTGTCTGAGAAGAGATAAGGAGGAGGGAAAAGATTTCTTTTCAAATCCTTTTAATTTAAATGTATCTCACCCAGGCACTCAGAGTTTCTTGTGAGTCTGAAGTTACAGCACAAACTAGAACAGGATGCTAAAAAACCCACCCTTGCTTTAGAGATTCATCCTGTGCTTTTGGTCATCCTACTTTATGGAAAGGGCATAGACACCCTCCTCTCAGTATTCTGACCAACGTGAAGTCCCACCATGCAGAGACATAGCAAAGAAAGGTCCAGTCAAAGTGAACATGGGCCACATTTGCTGTTGCTTCTCTTTCTCCTCCCAGCTGTGACAGAATGAATAGGTGGACACTTCTCAATCCATTTCTGGAAGGAAAACACCTGTCCCATACTTTCAATGAATTGAGAACCAAACAAGAGTGGTACCTTCCCCTCTGGACCCTGTGCAATTTTTAAAACATCACATGACAAATACTTTCTTGCACCACATTTCTAAAGTACAGCAAAGTTCAGTTCTAAAGTTCAGCAAAGCAGTGCCTCTGCTAGAATTGTCTATTTTCCTAAGGTTTTCCTTCCTCTCACAACGACCACTCTTACCCCATTTATAACCAAGCACTATACGATAATATGTAACTACAGAACTTTGTTATGAAGCTTGTCTAAATTTCTCATTCCTTTCGCCTGCTTCTATGTGCCCCAAACATCAGACTTCAGTTTTAAATGAGAAGATATTTTGCCTTTTCTTTTAAAACTGTCCTTGCCCGTTAAAAAAAAAAAAAAAAAAGAGAAAAAGAAAAAAAAGAGTCTTCTACAGAAAATTTTGTAAGACTAGATTGCACTACCACCATGGTGCAAAGCCTATCCAAAATCTGACACACATATTGCAAGGCTCATCTTTGTCATGACTCTTAGAAATGGGAGAATTAAAACCAGGTAGGAGTAAACACACTACAGATCTTTAAAAAGAAACTGGGGAGTTGGATCTTTTGCTGATCCAATGGTATCATGAAATACTTCAATATGTGATCTGAAACATCAGAAATGCAAGTCTGAATAAAAATGAAAACTCGGTAACAGTTCTTGCTGCATTTCTTATCTGTCTCTGGATCTTTATTTCTCATCCAGCCAACCTCATCTCTTTTCTCCTGATAGCTCAGGTAGCAAAGCTTGCTTCGGATCCGAACCACACATGCTTATCCCAACCATTTTTATTTTTTTTAAAGTTGCAGCTTTGCAACTAGTAATTACCACAATCACAAAATGCTTTAAAATGTGATCAAAATTACATTTGCATATGTCATTCTTCAAGACTAAATGTTATAGGATCACACTATTTTCCAAGAAACTGTTTAATCTATTTGTTGTACACAGGATCTCCTCACTTTCTTAAACTATCACAGCAGGGAAATTCCTTGCCTGAGGCCATTATTGGTGCAAAATACTTATATTAAACTTCAAATGGAAAAATTCACAGCAGAAAAAAATCACACCACTATTTACTAAAGACATTACCTCTGGTTAGGGAAGTCTCTGAGCTGCAGAATTTATAGAATTTACGAAAGTATAGCCTATCTGCTTCCTCGTACAATTGCTCTTTTCTAGACATGCCATGACAGACAGGATATTGTATTCCATGGACTGACCAAGCAGTGTCTCTCATGACTGGAAGAACATCATCTTCATTCCAACTCATTACTCAAGAATAGATGGAAGACAAAACAGCAAATCAAGGAAACAGGTGCATGCATGTGACCAAACCACATCAGTCAGGCTAGCCAAAGCGATCTTTAGCTCAGGGTTCTTCATCTGCTACTCTTATAGGTTCTCAAGTTGGAGAAATGAACCAGATCAAAAGCTATATCAACTGTTTTGAAAGTCCTTTTATTTGTGAGTCCTTCCTGTCACATGCCTGTAAGTGTGTCCTAACACAAGTGTTAGCACCAAAACACAGGCATCGAGGTCCACATCCATTCATACAATGGGAACATACCTAATAATTGCAATACACAGCATGTCAGCAGCCCACCACAGCACAGATCTGTTCCCATTAAGAGATGGAATGGCTCCAGTCTAGTCAAGTGACAGATTCATTTCTAGGCACATGACAGAAGAATGGCAAGTTTTACATAGCCCTGAGCACCACTTCAAAAAGCCATGAGGAACATCATGGCTAAAAAGTATTGTGCTAAAACATGAGAAGCACACTTGAAAGGACGTGTGAAAACCAGAGCATGCCACGGATGGAGCATGGTACGCAGGAATTTCTCATCGTTGATGTGATACCTACAGATTCGAATGGATGTGACTAACGGTTCCCCCTTCCACAAAACAAACGTAACGCTGACTGAAGTCTGCCACAGACATCAGCAGTGCTAACTTCAGGAGACACCAGACTGGTTATTTAAGCATTTGGTAGAATCCAAGAGTTGCATATCCTTAACTTGCACATCTGCATTAGAGGTGCTAGATCTAAGTATTTACAACACAGTAACAAAACTAAACTTGATAAACAGACTGCTGATATTTTAGTACGTCTGTTTAAGTTCAACCTGATGAGTTAAACCCCTTGAGCCATCACACTGAGACAGTACAGATTCAAAACAGCATCAACTTAAAGTATCAGCCAACTCTTATCCTGGAGAGTTGTCACAGCAGAACTCAGCTATATTAAAAATGTAAGTTGATGCTCAGTGTAAATTCCTTCCAGACATCATAAAAAGGTGTCCTGAGACTGAAATAAGGCTAACAGTGAAGTTGTCACTGAACAACTGAGTTCCTTGATAGCCTGTGTTTACATGACAGAACCCTTTACTTCACACAGATTTCTCACATACACGCACACCTCTGTGAATAGTTTGCATTTGAAGAAAAGAGTGGGCTGCTCATCCAATCAACAATGCCACGTCACGCATGGAGCTTCTGCATAAATCCAGAGCAAAAGATGTCAAGCATGTCCCACTCCAATGATTATCAGGCAATGAAGGAAAAAGATGCACTTTTCATCTCCACAGGACTGTCGCCAAACCCTTGATGTAATAAATGAAACACGCCTGCTATTTCACCGTTGCAAAATGGTACTGTAGATATCTTACAACATCTCTGTTTGCAGGAGGGGGTAACTAGCTCTAGATGAAGTGCAGATACGTTATTAAACAACGCACAGCTTGAATCCTGGGGCCAACACAGATGACCTTTAGAACATAAGCACCGTCTAAGACAAATATGCTTTCATCTTTGAGGAGTATTTTTTCAAGTAAAGATTTAAGAGAAAAATAGTTTAGAAATAAGTTATGCACAAATGTGCCTTCAGTCTCTTAATGCTTCATTTTAAAAACAAAACCATGAGCAGTATCACATGTCAGAAGAAAGACTAAGTACTCTTTAAGCAGAATATTAGTGTATTTAGTGAGATATAGCTTCGTTTTCATTTAAACAACCCAATAATTACAGCACAGAGAAAGGGGATACCTGATGTAACCGAGGTCCCAAATTGGAGGTATGACTAAAGCGATTCAGAAAAAAAGGCTTGTATTTTTATTACAAGTCTATAAAAACAAAGACCATTATTTCACTTTAGAATCCCCTAAGTAGGATGGAAATACAAAAACACAACAAAACCACACTGAGACATGTAAAACAAAGAAAATGGTTTTAGAGACGGATTAAGTGAAATAGCAAATGATACAAAAAAAAAAAAGAAAAGAAAAGGAGTTTCTTGTATTGCACTTAACAGGCTGTTATAATTTATCTTCAGTAAGTTGTTTTTTTCAGAGTTATATCTTGATTGTGATGCTAAGCTCCTTTAACGTATACAGTTATATTTACTTCATGGAAAAGAGCAACATTGGTATGATAAAATTTCTGCCCCCACAAACTAGGTTTGCAGATTCTGAAAAGTTCTGAGCTGCCCTGCACAGCATGGTTTTCCATCAAAGTCAGTGGCAAACTATCAAAAGACCCTACAACTGCAAAGCACCTTTCAGGATGGAATCTCCCATGCCTGAAAAGCCCATATCACATATTAGAATCTTCAAACACAGCAGACTTGTTATGTTTTGGTGGTTTGTTTTTTGTTTTTGTTTTTAAAAAAGAGATTTCATTTCTTACCTCAAATTCAGCGTGGCGGTTAATATCCTCTGCTCTCTGTCTGCTCAAGATAAATTCTGCTTCATTAGCCACTCTTACCAAATGGTCCTTCATGGTTTGACTCAGCAACCTGAGGACAGAATATTTGAGAACTGCCTTGAGAGAAGGAAGTCCTAAAATAAAAATCTGTAAATACAGTATATGTACAAATATTTTGAGCTCTGTTCCATAAGTGACTTTATTGTGTTAAGGAAATGGTATAAATAAGGTTGAAGGGTAATTTTCTGGCAACTAGTAAAATTGTATTTCAATAGTAAACCAAACTAAGTATTAAACAAAATGCAAACACTCTGGACAGTCATTTGTGTTACCTGAAATATAGATATGTAAGAAACTCTTTCACGTACACACAAGATAAAGAGAAGCAAGCAGTTTATGCATATAAACATGCACAGTGAAAGCCCTAATGTAACTGATGTAAAGTCTAAATAAAAAAAAATTGTGAATTGCACTGCCGTATAGTTTTTTCTCCAAGTGTAAAATTGGAATTTTATGGTAAGTATATATTTAAGTAATATTTTCAGGATTATAAAACATCCTCAGTCTCACAAATGAAATGCTAAGATATACATTGTTCCAGGTTATGTACAGAATAAAGCTGTAATTCAATCTGGGATTTCTGAGGCCAGCATAAACCTTGAGTTTATGAATGGCAGCAGAGCTGACAGATTGAATTACAACCCAATTATTCTGTGAGTTCACATATTGTTACTAAAAACATTTCCTTTTTAATTAGTTACACTGGGATTCATAATGTTAAAACTGGCTATACAGGAGTGACACTGTTCTAGAAGGTGCACATTTCCATAGGATCACTCAAAGATACACCAGATAAATCCATTACATGCTCTACTGGTTAGTTTTTCAAAATATCCTGTTATTAAAGCTTTTTTTTTTTAAGGTTTTCAGTTGCTAATGTAGAAGAGTAGCACAACATAAAATCACTTGCTTGCCTTGCACATATAAGATAAAGTACATTTCCCCAAGTTCACAGAGTCTACTGAAACCCTTTCTTTACCAACACAGGATTTATAATGCAGGATGCCTTCTAATGTATACATTGTTAATTTTATCCCCTAGAACTTATTCATCTGAACTCAGGCTCCAGCTGTGTCATGGTTTAACCCTGCCAGCACTAAATGCCATGCAGCCACTCTCTCACCCTCCCCCACTCCCAGGGGAATGGGGAAGAGAATTAAAGGGGAAAAGAGAAGGAGACTTGTGAGTTAAGAACAATTTCATAATAATATTAAATTACAAGTGATAATCATAAAATAATAATAATATATGAATACATATAACAATAATAATATGTACAAACAAGTGATGCACAGTGTAATCGCTCGTCACCCAGCGACAAACACCTGTCCCACCCCAGCAAGCAATCCTGAAACAGGTGAGTCCCCACACCACAATCCTGGACAAGTGAGAGGCTCGAAAAGAGAGTGAGACAGAGAACTCCCAGAGAATTTCCCAAAAGAGAGAGAGAGACAGAACTCAGAGTCTGACAGAGCCCTAAGAAGAGAATTCCCCAAACTTCCCAGTCAACCCTCATCTAGACAGTGGGCATGATATTGCATGATATGGAATACTCCACTGGCCAATTTAGCCCTCAGTCCTAAATCTAGTTCAAAATCACAAGGGCAGCTGTGGGCCCTTTGTCCCAGCCATGGTCCCCCCAGCCTGCTGCGCTCCTGCACACTGGAAAAACACGGGAAGCTGAAAGGTCCTTGATGTCTCAGCACCAACTATAAACACCAGTGCGCTATCGACAGTCTTATAACAAATCCCAGAGTAAAACCAAAACACAGAGCTCTGCTAGCTGCTGAAAACTAACTCTGCTCCAGTCGAAACCAGGACAAGCTGTCTCTATCTGCATGTTTGATAATATGATCATCAATGCCCTTTTCCTGTGCTATTCAAAATTCCACGGTCACAAGCCTACTCCAATGGGAAGAAATCCAGAAGCAGAACAACACCTGATGCCCATTGTTCATTGCCTCTCCCACTACAAGGCTAGGAAATCTGCAGGACAACAGCTACATGAGGCCATTTGGTCACGAACCAGTTAATTCTCCCACTACAAGGCTAGGAAATCTGTAGGACAACAGATACATGAGGCCATTTGGTCACGAACCAGTTAAATCAGTGGATTACTGTCTCCCCATGGATGAAGTCTTGAAAAAAGAAATATGCACAATTCAATATTTGAAGCATGACTTCACCTTCTGTTTGAGGAGGCTTGTACAGAAGCCACTGTTACAGGATCGCGTTATAATTTTTTTCTTTTTTTTTTTCTATTTTTAGTCACTTTTAGAATAGAAGGTTCATCAAATGTAATTTGGACAATTTATCTGCATGCAGTAGTGACAAACTTCTACTTTCAAAAACTTGCAGAACCAACGTTGCTACAATAATGTAACTTTGATTTCATAACTTCTCATGGTTTCAGAAAAATTGGGAAAATAAACTAATGAAGAAGGTATTGCTGATACACTGAAAAAGAAACTCCAAAACTCTGTCTCTAATAATTTACAACCATGTTCAACTAAAAATAAATCCCTACTAATAAACCAGCAACAAGAAACTTTGCATAAACAATTTCATAGTGTGAGCAGATTCAAAGCATTTGAGTCCCCTCTTTCTCCAAGATCTCCAGTAGCACATTTAAATGTCACAAAAACATTTAAATAAACTTTTTTTTTGTTAAACTAAGACTGTCTAAAAAAATCTGGGGATCATAAATACTCATGTATTATGATATGATGCATTACAATTCATATTTAACAGAGGTGGACAGTATCCCATTATTTTCATTGAGTTTGTCAATACTAGTATCTTCTGCTAACCTGATCGGACTTTGAAATACCCTCTAAAAGGTCCACTTTTTTCATCTGTTCAGGAAAGCACCCTATATCATAATAATTGTTGTTAATTATTTACAAGGCTTTTCCTTTTTATCTACTAAAGGTAAGCAGCAAGCAGCCCAGTACATGACTGACTGTACACTTGTACACTGACACTTACTACGCGTTTGCAGAGATGACGGCCGTGTTCCAAACAAAGCAAAGAACTACATTCCCTCACATAGGAACGACGTTCTCAACACCAACTAGAAGTGTATCTTGTAAAAACAAATAGCTGTTGAGTATCAGAAAGAGCTTGGTCTCCTATGGATTGGTTGTCACTTGTGTCACCCCCTCCTTAACTAATCCCACACGCTTCCCTCATTTTCTCTATGATATTCCATACAGGGCTAGGCCAGCTAGATAAAACTTACATATGATTTTGCAGATAAATCCTAGTCAAATCTGATATTTTGGCAACCAAGAATTCTTAAGGTTAACAACTAAGGAATTGTCCAAGCTTAGCATAAAGACCAACTGGCAACTTCAAGTTGTTTTCAGAAAAAGGTAAAAGCTTCATATTATTAGGTATCAATTATTATACGATTACTTCCCTTCATGCAAATTGCCAAATTCATCAACTAAAGGTCTTCAGGAGGTGAGGATAAAAATTGTTTTCTAATACAAATGAAGCCTATTTGAAATAATTTACTGGTTTATACCGTATCACAGCTGTATTCATTATTTACATTCAAAAACTTCAAATTTTAATCTTTCTTTTCATTCACCTTTTCCATACACTGCATATGCTTAGATTAACTTTCTTGTAATACACAATTCAAGTCGAATCATTATCTAAATCAGCTTGGATTTGCTTTATGAGAACAGTATTCACATACAGAGCATGCCACTTGGATTCCTATTTTGAATGTACCTCTTTATATGTGGAACTTAGCAAGCTAAATATACAACTATACATAAACGTAACGATGGCATGACACAACTGAGCAGTCCATAGCCATCACTAAAAATCAAAAGGCAAATTCGAGCTCTCAGCATCTCTACAAATGAACACACCTTTGCTTAGATACACAAAATGAAGTTTTAGTTATCTGCTTCTAAATGCTAGTTTCAGGAACCTTGGCAGCGGATACTTTTCCATTTGAGGCAAACAAAATGTTGAACAGAAATTTGGTAAGTGTAGCTCACTGCTTGCAATGGAAAGTGTTTCCAGCAGAAGAGACCGCTGCTGAGGCAAGGACAAGAATCTGATTCTTGCAAAAGTTTTAGTTCAACTCTAAGTTACATGCAACACATTTTGTACACATGTGAGTGGCTACAAACTGTATTAACTAGATCAGGTAACTTTATGAGACAAATGCTTTCTTCTAAAGAAAAAAAGATTTTTAGAAAAAGCTGATATTCCTCACTAAGACACTAAGTACATTTCACAGATTTAAAGGATCATAATGGTCCTTTCTGGTACCTGCTCTGGTCTCCCACACAGAATTGATCATGCATGTTTTCCTCAATATGATTTAATTTCTCCATCAAGTCTGTACCTTCTGTTTGAGCTAAAGTGCAACTTTCAGAAAGATGTCTCAATTTTATTTTTTTTTAAGATTTGAAGATATTTTACAGTATACTCCTCTATAAGTAAGTTTTATAAGGCAGCAATTAGCATACAAAAAACACCAAAAAAAACCACAACACAAAAAATGCCAAAAAAACAGCCACAACTATTTCTTGTCTGCTTTTATCCTGTTTTTTATTCAAGCAACTAGATCAAATTAGTTCTTTTTCTGTTGAATAAAAAGTCTATCCAAAACATCTCTTTATAAATCCTTTTTCTCACAGCAAAAGAAGAGCTTTTCATTTCTTTGATTAAACAGATTAATTGAATTTCTTGGGTTATTTTTCCAAAGTACACGCACTCAAGCTGAAAGAAATACTGAAGTCTAATAATTTCCTTCTTGCCTGTGCTTCATAATCTCTGCATGCAAACCCATAAACCGTGTTTGCCTCATACTACTATCTCACGTATCTGTTTATTTTTTTCACTGTTATTAAACAAAACGCTGATGAATGTGGTGATTTACACTCTTCCTTTCCTGATAGCTCTGGTTTGGCTTTATTTATGACAACTTACCGACTTCAGACTTTTTTTCTGATCTTTAGCAAGAGAAGAGTGTGGATGGAGCACGGATGGGCATGTTCTGTGGTA